TTCAAGCAATCTTGGAATGGGGAACCCCATTCTTTTTCTACTACTACAGTAGTACCTCATAGCGGTTCACAATCTACCTCCCAATCAAGCTGCAGATCTCAATGCCTGATGTCCTCTGTCTTGTACATTAAACCCCAAAGGTACACTGCTTTTTTTTCTACATATGGGGAGTTTGTTCTGCTGCTGTATCCTTTGGTTGTTTACCTCCTTACAATGTGGATGCTCAGGCTTCTACTCTTAGTTACTCCCCTTGGTGCTGGACTCCCTCCAACCGTATCCTTTTTCTAAGAGATCTTGTGGCCTGCAAGATCTACAGGGATCAGTTCCCTCTGCTCCTTTACCATGTAAGGACCTCAAACTGGAAATGGAAAAATGTGAGCACTCTCTATGTGTCTGACCAGGTGATCTATTCCCTATGCTAAACAGTACTGAGTGTGTCATTCGCAGTCACACAGTTTTTCCTCCTGGAATCCAGGTATTGGGTTCTGGACCCCCACATTTGATGTTCCCCACCTTGAGGAGTGGAGGATTCTGCACATGGGTGTGCCTCCTTTCTTCCTTGCAATGAAGTATCCATCGTTAATAAGTTGTTTACTTTCCTGGAGGGTCAGCAGCATACTATTACTAGGTCATACTATTACTAGAGTGCGAGTCCAGAGGCCATTGTGGCGGCCTTGTTACCAAAAGATAGATCCTTTCCTGGACCGACCAGCAGTCTTCTGCAGAAGTCTCTTTACATTCCTTCCTTCCTGTACCCGAGATGTGGCAGGTAATAATTAGCTTAACACCCAGCGGAGTAAACAAACAGGCACTTTACTTTACAGTGAGTTAAAGTGATATGATTACACTAAATAAAGTTGCAGCAATTACAGTCACACTGGAGATTTGTGGGCTTGTTTTTTTTACTCACCATACACTCCTATGTAAAATTAAAGAAGAACTCGGGGCAAAACTCCTTTTAACCCTTGCATTGGGGCTTCTCCTGCACTGCAAGGGTTAAGTACTAGTTTTTATCTAGGTGCTAAAATAAAAAAAAGTTATACTCACCTAATCCTCAGAATTGGCTTGCTCTTAGACCAGTAACTCCTGCCTCTTTTCCACTCCAGCTGTCTAAGGTCCCTGAGTCCTATATAAGGGGATATAGGACATGAGGACACCAAGGGACATGCCATCGGTGCCGCAGAGGAGGAGGCAGATGGCAGGGACTGGTCTAAGAGCAAGCCAGCTACATGGTTTGGGTGAATATAACTTTTTTATTTTAGCACCTTAGAGAAAAATGACAACTTAACCCTTGCAGTGGGGCTACCCCCCACACTGCATGGGTTAAGTTGTCATTTTTGTCTAGGTTTTGTCCTAAGAACAGTTTTGGACAGATTTCTGCCTTATGGACCTAATTTTACACAGAAAAACTGATGGACTTCGATCTGATGTATTATTTATTCATTCTTAAGAGCCCCTCACTGAAGAAAAATTCTCATGTACTGTATCTGACCACTCCACCCACAAAAAAAACCCAAAACTAAATTTAAACCAAGACATTGCTGTGTTTATGTGGAGCAGGATAATCCATAGAACTGCAGTAAAAGAGCGTAAGCACATCAAGAAGCCAAAAGCAGTAGCCACCTAACATCTTGAGATCTCATTTCTTTATTACAATAGGAATCCCAGGAATGTTTCTCCTGGAGAGTCACAAAATAAAAAACAAAAACAAGATCATTGTTCAGTTTAGCGCATTTAGGCTCTGTTCACATATAGCGGTTGGGTTTCCCGCACGGTTTTCCGCGTGGAAGACCATATGGGACGAAAATGCTAACATTTTTATTACGCACAGATGCCGCTCATTTGCAGCGATTAAATAGCCTCGAACGTGTGGAATCCGCTAGATTATCGCACTTGTACTATTTTGGGGACTGCGCGGTTTCCGCAATAGTCTGAACGATGCACATTAAAGTGCATTGTTTTCTCTGTTCAGAGTGGCTCTGCATGTATCTGTATAGCCAAATACGCGCGGACAACCTCTCCAGTGTGAATGGAGCTTAAGGAAAATGATCTTGGATTTGAATCACGTGTTTCCCTACAGAAGACCTGCGCAAGCCTATAGAAATTACTAAATGTACTTGTACACAGTGGTGTAACTATGGCCATAGCAGCCCAGGCAGGTGCTATGGGGCCTGGGGTGGAAGGGGGCCCCAATAGGTGGTTGAGGCAAATTAAACATAGAACATATGAAGATAATACAGCACTCTAAGGATTGGAATGGTTGCAGTTGACAACAACTCTAAAGGTGCCCATACACTGCACGATTCTCGTACGAGAATCGCGGGAAATCCCGCGATCGTACAGTGTATGGAAGGCGTGCGACCGTTCCTACTGTACAGTCGCACGAATTTTGTATTTCGAGCATGTTGGAAAACCAGCCAAGAATCGTACGATTTTCGGCTGTTTTTTAACATGATCGAGAGACAACTGCCGAACGGGCCGGTGTGCGCACACGCACACTGCACATTCAGCATTGCAGTCATCGGAATCCCGCCCCCCAGGGGGGACGAGAATCGCGGGAAATCCCGCGATCGTACAGTGTATGGAAGGCGTGCGACCGTTCCTACTGTACAGTCGCACGAATTTTGTATTTCGAGCATGTTGGAAAACCAGCCAAGAATCGTACGATTTTCGGCTGTTTTTTAACATGATCGAGAGACAACTGCCGAACGGGCCGGTGTGCGCACACGCACACTGCACATTCAGCATTGCAGTCATCGGAATCCCGCCCCCCAGGGGGGCGGGCTTGCGATGATCGCAAGTACGATCTGCCTGTCCAAGATGGGCAGATCGTACTTTTTTAAAATTACTTTACAACCCTCGCAAGACAAAAGTCTTGCGAGGGTTGTATAGTGTATGAGCACCTTAATGCCCTGTACAGTCTACACTGTAGAGACAGCTTCAGATGCACAAGAGGAGTCTTTGGGAAATTGGCATCATTACTCACAGCTCTGAGAGAGGTCATGGGGGGCCCCCATCACTTTTATGCTCTTTAGTTACTGCCCTGCTTGTACATTCAATTTTCAATAATAGAGATTAGTGAGAACAGAGAATTTCTAATTGGCTGCCATCACTGCACTCTGTGTAGAACGCTTTATTCCTTTAACCTCCCTGGCGGTCTTCCCGAGTGTGGCTCGGGGTTAATTTTCAGTACCAAGAGCGGTAGCCCCGAGCCACACTCGGGATTGCACAAAAGTGTCACTTACCTTGTACCTACGAGCCCGCGGTGTCCTCTGCTGTACACGGCCGGCCGTTGCCGGCATCTGACTTTTAGTTTGGTTTTCGGCGTCACAGCGGGGGGCGGAGCCGGCGGGAAATTCAAAAGGGAAAAGATGCTATATACACAGAATACACAGAATACAATGTAATCTGCAATGATTACACTTATGTATCAAACTATTTCACTTCAATTTTGTCCCTAGAGATTTGTCCAGTGCCCTGCCTAACACTTTTACTGATCTTTCTGCCTGGAAACTTGAGAACATCCATGGCATCCAGAAAGTGTCCCTTTAGGTCAAAAGCAGTTTTAGACAAGGTAGAAAACAGCGATATTGAATTAGAATCAATTGCAGAATTGAGCGATTAGTTGGGAAAATCGTGACGACAGCGACGATTCTGCGACCGAGCTCAGTGATGTGCGAACTTGGTACTCTATTGACTGTGGTACGGATCAGGCTGCGCCCCCAGAATTCCCATTTACTGGATAATTTTTTTTATTATTATATTATATTTTTTTAGAATTATTTATTATATTATAATTTATGATTTTGTGTTTCAAACTTTATCATACCTGGCATGTCTACCGGACTCTTGTTTGGACAGATTTAGTGAGTTATTCCTAATAGGGCTGGGGAAATTAACGATTAATTACCCTATTAATCGTTAAAATTTTTGAACGATTAAAATTCTTTTAATCAGTAATGAAAACACTCACCTCTCCGCCGCCTTCGGTGTCTTCCGGGAGTCTTGTCGGAGATCCGGTGACATCACGGACATCGGACTCCTCCCCCCTTCCCCAAGTGGCTCAGTCGCCCCCTTCCCCCAGGTGTCTCCGTCGGCTAACGAAGGGAAGGGGAGGAGTCCGGTGACGTTGATGTCAGTGACGTCACCGGACTCCTCCCCCCTTCCCTTCGTTAGCCGACGGTGATCTGTCGACACTGAGAACTTATCGAGTTCTGCGACCGCCTGACTTCCAGTTTCGTTACATCTAAGAGGTTTGCCCAAGAAACTTGTTCTGCACGAGCGCCACTTGTTCACACTAATCCAGCACGTTATTATTCTGAGTTGCCCCACTCAAGCGGCGGCCATATTGAGTGGGGCACGTGAGAATAATAACGTGCTGGATTAGTGTAATCCTAGTCCATTTTATTACTTCATTGCTGTGCTGTATGTGTATAGGCCAATGTAGTTGGATCTGTATGTGCGTTATAATTAATCGAAATTAATCGATTTAAAAAAATTTAGATGAATCAAACACAAAAATTGTAATCAGTTCCAGCCCTAATTCCTACAATTTACTAAGAATTACAGGCCTACTATATAAAACAACAAATTGCCATGAAAAACAATGTACCGCTTTGGCATGTTAAATCCTGCATAATCATACCGCCAGGGTGCTGGCTGAAAAACAAGTACAACATTTAGTTTTTATGTATATTTATATCTTAATTAATACAAAATAAAAAAAAGTAATATTTTGTTAAAAACACAATTTTGGAAAATGCCAGTAAAATGAGGAAGAATGTCTCTTTCTGGCAGCTGATGAAATACGTAAGCTTTATTTGTAATACAACACAGTGTGGCTGATTATTACTTTTGTTCTTAAAGTTCTATGAAATGCCCTTTTATAGTGCAGCTCAGCAAGGGGGAGAAAACGGTGGTGGCTTGTGTCATAAATTACTGTGACAATAGATGTTATGGTTGGCTTTGTGATGCAGAAGGGTGGTCTCTGTCCCAGAATAGGCACACAAGAGGAAAGGTTGGGACTATTCCGTTTCCAGTTTAGTCTTAGGAAGACGGAAGATCTGTATAGTGGAGCAACATGAACACGTTCACCCACCAGACACAGCAGGTCAGTGATGATTTATCCTGCATTCCTATATCTTTAGAAATCATAATTATGCATATTGCTGAGGAAAGATGTGTGATCCAGTCTAGACTTTACTAGGTTTTGGAAACCTATGGCACTGAAATCTATAGGTTTAACAGTTGAAATGTACCAAAGAAGTGTGAATATGTCATACTGTGCTACTAAGAAACATTCTGGCAGCTTATGGGGTATAAATAACAGGAAAAGGTGAGCTCAGGAGTTCAGCATTACACAAAGCACTTTCCCCATTGTACCCTGCGGATACCATATAATATATATAATAGATTATATTATAATAAATATTCTATAATGAAAGCCAACATTGCAGTTCAGAACTTTACCTGACCAGCACTGACACACTGTGCTGCTTTTTAACATATGGCGAGAATCACTGTCTTTAAATCCATAGCCATAAAGTCTTTGCCAGTCACTGAATGACACAACTTAAGCTGCCCAAACACCTATAGATTATCTGCAGATTTTCTATGGTCAGATGGATAAAGTGCAACAGATTTCTCCATCTACGCTAAACTGTGTGACTGGAGGAATCTCCCGCTGGGCCAATCTTCAGAATCTTGCTAGTCGGCCCCACTGGCTCGCAAAACACCTGAACAATCTGATTGGATGCAGTCCTTGTTCAGGTATTTTGAGACCTAACGGGGACAAATAGCAAGATATTGAAGCTTGGCACAGCGGAAGATTCCTCCATCCACACAGTTTAGCGTACATGGAGGAATCTGTTGCACTTTTTCCATCTCACCATAGAAAATCTGTAGATAATCTATAGGTGTATGGCCATCTTTAGTCTTGATAGTTAATCGCCTTCTTCACCAAAAATAAAACAAATGGTTTCCTTGACTGGTTTTGATAATATGATATTAGACCCACGCAGTCTCCTAACAATTTTCTATAGTCATACACAACTATTATGTCAGTATGCATTTGTAGAATTCAGCTAGAGAGCGCGGCTTATTGGTCTGCAGAGAGACACGGTATAGTAGATATCGGTTACATTCTGCACAGTGGTTTCTTGTTAGGAATCCTGTGCTGAGAGTAAAGGTGCCCATACACTGTGCGATTATCGCACGATAATCGTGTTAAATCCCGCGATCGTACGATAATCGCAAAGTGTATGGAAGGCGTGCAAACGTTTTTACTGTACGGTCGCACGTCTTTTGTCTAAGGAGCCGCTAGAAAACCAGCCGAGAATCGTACGGTTTTCGGCTGGTTTTTAACATGATCGTAAGATCAATGCCGCACGGGCCGGTGTGCGCACGCGCACACTGCCTGTTCAGCATTGCGGTCATCGGAAGCCCGCCCCTCAGGGACTCGTTCGCATTTAATAAAATTCGTACAAATATCCATTCAGAATGTAACAAAATGAACTTGTCTAGCTGTCATCATTGATAGCATTCTAAAAATTTTGGACTTGCAGCTGTGTCTGGCTTTCATACCTTAAGACACTGACCCAGAACAAGCAAGCAGCTCAGGAAAGTCAAAGTAGACTGAACTCTTCATTTTCATGCTTGTTCCAAGTCAGTCACACAGAAAATTCTGAAGCCACTGGATTAGCATGGCAGCCAGATAAGTATTATAGTCAGAAAGGGGGATCAGCAATGGTAGCCTGGATGGATGCGGGGGTTGGCGGTGCACGTTATCGGGGGAAAGGGGTGAAGTTGTGCACAGTACCTCTGTCCTGCATCCCGCCCAGCTCACTGACATCACTCATTGCCAGTAGCTGAGCTGGCCAGAGCGTCCCAGGTTCCTGAGAGCTCTATGCAACCTGGGACACTCTGTCTGGAAAGGGGGCAGAAGGGACACCTGCCACCACAAAACCCAATGAGATGTCACCTGAGGCAACTGTATCATGCTGCCTCATTATAGGGATGGCCCTGGTGCTTCCTAATTGCCAGTTTTATTTTACGTTAGCCATAGAGTAATCCTAGTACTCCTAAATATTCAAAATTAACATGTCACTAAATTATAAATTCAATGAAACTGTAAACGCTGAATACCTAGTGAAATGCAGGTTCCACTATATTGCTGCACACACTTTTCTGAGTTCTGCTACGCTCGTATCACATCTCACAATGCAATGCTCTGATCATAATGAATATTAGGTGTTTGGAGCATGCAGCAGCTGAAAACAGTAAGAAGTTGCATATGGATTGGCCAGGTTTTTTTGCCAGGTCACTCATGAAGTCAGCCAATCCTTTTCACTAGTTAGGTCAACTTTTATATCAACTTTAAATCAGTGACAGGTTTAGATGGACTCTTGGGTGGTAAAGAAAAAGACGATATTTTCACATGTCCTGTAGTTTTCCATCAAGTGAAATCTTGCTGACTTGGCTGTTTTTTAAGACGGCTATGAATAAAACTTTTATCGGTGCTTGTATTACAATCAGAGAAAGGATTGCAGTAATATGGCTCAGGTGTACCTGCATAGTTTTTCCTGTCTGTGTTATTTCTCTATAGCTACCTTGCTTGCATATTGGCTATTAAACTGATGCCGATGAGCCCTTCTGGAACATGCATAAGAATTAGGGTCATTTGCATCACCCCATATCGTCATTGTTTATTCCAAACTGGTCATGGGTAAGAGTCTCATGGGTATTGCACAACTATACAGGGCCAAGACATGTGTCAATTGTAATGCAATGATGTGTCGTGTGACAGCATTGTACCCTGTGATCATCATCAGTGCTCCATGCATGCACACTTCTGAGCTCCAAACCTGTTCCTTGACCGCAGTGACTGGGAAAATTTAGCATTAACTTTTACAACAGGACTAGAAGGGCACATGTAAAGAGCAAAGATCACAATGAAAAGTGGTTTTGTGCAGCAGGGCAGGCAATATGGTCAAAAGTATCATTATGAATCATGTACATGCTTCCTAAGCAAGAAGAGTAATATAACCAATAAGAACTCATCAGCATCTGTGTGACAGCTGACATGATGTGTAAATAATGTATTTATAAATAAGTGTTTTCTTAGGATCAGTCTACTTAGTGATATTTTTTATATGTGGAGCCTGGTGGGTCCATCTTCTTATGCCTTGGATGCTTTAATAGCGATATCTCCCTGCCATAATATTACACTCTGTCACTATCCACCTGGGAGTGGTGGTTCCTCTCACTTACTGTTTTGTATCCTAGCTCTTCCTGTTCCATTTCATAAATAATCATGAAACAAATGGAATAAGAAACCCTCCTACTGGCAACAGAGCAAGCGTGTAGACCTAGGGATGCAGGTGCTGAGATCTTATCAATAGAGTCCCCAAGAGATAGAAGAAATTGTTAGGTAGTTTAACTATCCATCAACTCTCGAAAGCTCAAATATCAGTTTGGGTGTACTAACCCTTTAATAATTTGTATCGATCCTTTAAAAGCCAGTATGGGGCATTTGAAAACCCTTTTTAAATTGGTTTATTCATGGCTGTCCTAACACAGCTTGATACAAGGAGACGGATTCAGCAATATCAAGGAAAATGCAAAGATAGACAACACAAGTGGATGCCTTTTATTTCCAATCCAGATAATATGGCCATGCATATCAAACCTAAAGAGATAATCAACAACTGATAGCAAACTACAGAATTACTAAAGTCATGAAAGGAAAAAAAAGATTGCACAAATTCACAGTATCTGCTATAATAAATCTAGAAAGGTAAGTGTCATTGTTTAAAATATTACTATAACTTCTATTAATACTGTCATCATTTGAGATGCATATTGAAAGGCCAATATTGATTCAATTAATATATCGTAATATTGCATGACTCTACACACCCCACCCCCAAGAAAAAGAAATAGAACATTTGAATATATTTATCTCTGTTTAGAACATTCTTCCTTTCTCTGCAAACTGAGGATGAGGACTTTCTACCACCCCAAATCCTTCTTTCCCACCATCACTACCCTCCCAGTTCAGTGCTCTAGGTAGAAGAGGCTGCAATGCCCTTTTCTCCAATGGTCACACAAGTGGAAACTTAGGTTGGCAGCAGCACAGTGAGGCTTCTTTATCAATAAATCACACATGACAACTTAGTATGACATTTTGGGAAGACATTTGGTAAATGAGGGCCATTGATGACACCAGGAAGCAATGTGATAGTGTAAGAGAGCATGTCTATCAGTTGGTTTCATCAATTTCTAGAATGACTAGCTGGAATTAAATGTCTCATATTTTATAATATATTGCAGAGAAAAATAAGTCCCATGACTTACAACAATCAAGTTGCAGTTTCAGGAATATAGTGGTGACCCTGTGCCCTATGGGTTAGTAGACACTATTGCCCATCAAAGCTTATTAGACCAAGCCCTGTAGGTCTGAACACAGCCAGACAGCTCAGTCTGCAAATATTTACAGAGAGCAAAGCACAATGAAAGGAAGCAGTGCCTTTCCTGCTCCTGTGAAATCTGTGCAGTTAAACAGGACTTTTTCAAGTCTTAATCAGAACATGGGCAACATAGCATGATGTAACCATCGTAGGTAATGGCGTGTTTACCAAGCACAACATTCATAGATTAATCAGTGTTCATTTCTTTTTAAAAGGACAGTATAGTGTATTATCAGGGAGTTATTCTTGTAGTGTTTGCAGTATAATGTATAGTCTTTTCATTTAATTTTTAGATATACTTGTAAAAGAGGTCAAAGTGGCTAAAATGTTGTTACCAATGTGTATTAATGCTATAAAAACAGCTTTTGTTTCTATGTGTATATTGACATTAAGGGTGGCCGTATTTGCTTTTTACACTGCAGAGTTTGCTTTGCAGTGATACAAAATCATTGTTCTTTACTGCCCCTTCTCATAATGTAAGTCTATGAGTGAGCCAGTTTGAAGTATACAGATGTGGACAAATTTGTTTCTACCCTTCCACAAAAAAAATAACCCCCAATTTTCTTGAAACAACCTTAAACCTAAAAGTAATCGGTATCCATCTTTGATCATTTAATAAAAATGAGACTTTGCTTTTGATTTTTGATTCATCAGAATATTTTGATAATAAAACAAAAGAAAATAGCATGAACAAAAATGATGGGACCCTTAACCTCATATTTTGTTCCACCACCTTTAAGATCTGATACTTTATTGTTGTTGCATATAAGATGCAGCAAAACTCTGTTTGGCTTCAACCCTCTCCAAGCCAGCATTATATTTCTTACAACAAAACAATGAAACTGCAAAGAAGTGATTTCTGTAGCTCTCAATGAAACTTCTGCACCTGCCAAGAGGTAGTTTGTCCCTTTTTTCATTAACTGCTCCAGCTCCCTCAGGTTTGAAGGGTACCTTTTCCAGACTTTATTTTTCAGCCTTTTCCATAGATGTTCGTTAGGATTTAGATGAGGGCTAACAGATGGCCATTTCAGAATAGTCCAATGTTTTGATGTTGTTAGCCATTAAAGGGTATTTATAGCTGTGTGTTTTGGGTTATTATCTTGCTGGAAGGCCCATGACCGTCCACTGAGACAGAGCTTTCTGACACTTAGCAGTAGGTTTCGGTCCACAATTAATTGATAGTCTTGAGATTTCATCATGCCCTGCATAGATTCAAGGAACCCCATGCAAGCTGCAGCAAAGCAGCCCCAAAGGATGGGCCCCTCCATGTTTCACAGTAGGTACAGTGTTCTTTCCTTGAAAGCTTTATTTTTTAATCTGTGCACACACAGCTGATGTGACTTGCCAAAAAGCTCTTGCTTTGTCTGATATGTCCAAAGAACATTCTTCCTGAAGCATTGTGGCTTGTCAGTATACATTTCAGCAAATTCCGCTCTAGCACTTTCTATGCCATGAGGCGTGGGGAATGGATGCAATGGTGTATACAGTAGATGACAATGTGAAGTGGCTTAGCAGAGTCTGAGGACAATAATGTGTTTGTATTGTTCAAGGAAATAGAAGTACCTCACCATCTTCCTAAATGCATAGGTCCAATGTTATTGTATCATGGAGAAATGTATGGAGTTTTATGATAATAGTTTCATACAAGTGTTTTTTTTTAAAGCTGTTTTTAGATGGATGCCCAACACTCTGACTTGACTGTCGCAGTTCACTTGCTTGTCAGTAAAGGTGATTTCACGGCATTCCACCAAGCAATTGACCGACTACTGCAAGGCCTTAATGTAGAGACACCCCTCTTCCTGATTTCGGAACAAGGTGCTCCAGTACCAAGATATGAGTGTCGGAAGAGGAAGTTTGAATTTCCAGGTATCTCAGTGACACTTTTCCTCCGTGAAGATCTGGGTGAAGAAAGGATCTCTCTTCTGCATAGCTTCTTCCAGCTACCACCTTGGGATCATGTCAATACCGAGCTTAACTTGGGACAATTTTGCACATTCAGTCAAAATAGTGATGAGTTTTACTGTCTGGATGTGCATACGCCAGTTTGGGGAATCAGACGGGTACACTATGGGACAGAAATTCTGAGAGTTACCTTGTACTGTAGCTGTGACAACTATGAGGATGCAGTACGGCTTTATGAAACCATTCTGGGCATGGAGGCAACCAGCCAGAAGTTTGGATTCTGCTTCTTTGTTTTACATTCTACGAAGCATATATCCATCCAGCTCTCACTAAAGCAGCTGCCCCCTGGGGTGTCTGTACAAGTGAAAGATGCCTGTGCTCTGCAGTTTACTATACAAGCAATAGGACAACTTGTTCCTTTGTTGCCCTACCCCTGTGTGCCAATCAGTGACACTCGATGGCAAACCCAAGATTATGATGGCAATAGAATCTTACTCTTGGTAATTAGCTCTGCCTCAGCTTTATGAACATTTATATGTACCTTCCATTTATCCTGTGCCTTCACCCCTCCATAGTCTACTGCCTGGATACATCTAAGTAGAGCCACAGAAGGTGCCTTTTAAAGGGGTTTCTAGTTTATTTTTAATGTGACCAGTCTCCTTTTAAACTTCACAGGGAAGGGCATGTTGGTTTGGCTGCAGACAAATCCAAGCTGTTGAGCTGGAGTCAATGGCATTGTACTTGATGATTCCTTGATGGTAGGTTACATGCTCCTACTTAGGTTATAGAAATCAGTGGGAAAGCCAGAGCATTATCAGATGGGCAAGAGCTTAATTTAGGAACAGAAGTGTTGGACAGTCTGCATAGAAGCAGAGTCCTGAGCTATGGATTAGTCTGTACACGACCAGATTCTTTAATATATGCTCCTTAATATGGACCAAATCAACACAAGGAATGTGCAGGTATGCAAAAAACAAAATGTGAAAAAGGAAGAGCATCAATCAGGCGCAATAAAACTTTTTATTTAGAATAAGATTAATAAGAGTATTACTCTCTCTCTGACAGGAGAAGGCGTTTGTTAGACAATCATCACATTAGAGGGCGGGGGTAAGCATCAAAGTGGCCAGTGATAACGCATGATGACTCACGTCTACCTCCTCCTGGTTCAGATAGCTGACAGGCCAGGATAAAGCTGGAACTACCTGTGCCTGTATTTGTTGGAAGTCTGAGCTGACAGCCGCAACATGTGTGTGTCAATCCACTCACTTCCTGAAGGGGTGTGGGAATGTCGCTACCATCATGGGAAATGTGTTATATTCGGACAACTGCAATAGGGATCCGGGATTTGTACATCCCTCCGTTTACTTCCTGAAGGGGTGTGAGAGTGTAGTTACCCAGGAAATGCATCTAGGGGCAGATTCCCCTTTATCAGGCTTGATAAAGGGGCATAAGCCCCACAAATGCAACGTCTATTTCAGGATGGACCCCCTATGATAAGCCTGATGAGAAGGTTTGATGAAGGGGAGATCAGCAACACAGTGACATTTTAAAGTGACATTAAACCCTCAGATTTTTTTACATAAACCAATAGTGTAATGCGTGCCTTACTGTAATCCATGGTAGTTTCCCTTCTCTTTGCTGCTCTTCCTTTTAAATCCTCATATCTTCTCATGCTTGGGGAGAACTTCCCTTTGCAGCTGAGTGCCTCTTCCTGTAGTGCTGGCTCAGGTTGTGAACCTACACACAGACACCATGTAGTCATTTCAGAGACAAGGCAGTCTGCTGCATAACAGAAGTTCTGCCCAGCATGAGAACAGATACAGATTTAAAAGGAAGAACAGCAAAGAGAAGGGAAACAACCATGGATTACAGTAAGGCGCACATTACAGTATTGTTTTATGTTAAAAAATCTGAGGGTTTAATGTCACTTTAAGGACTGGTTCACAGAAGTCTTAAAACTGAACATTTTAGCATGCGACTGGCTTCTGCTGGGTGGCAGTGATGCATAGCAGTGTCTTCCGTTATTACAACGTAGGGCACTGTTTACTTTTTTTTACTTTATTGGCAGTGTACAAAGTGTACACTCCATTCAGGTGTCCATATAGCAACGTGGTGTACTGTGCTGTTCTGTAGTGCAGTGCTCTGTGGTGTGGTGACCTCCAGTGTTATCCATTGTACTGCAGAAAAATGTTGCATGCCTGCATTTTTCTGCACTGCATGGCACATTACACCATTATTTTGGTGTAAACGGGGTGCATAGCAAACAATTGTTCTCTGTGTGCCCTTGTGGTAAGGTAAGTAAGTATACACCTTCTTCTTCTACAGGTTGGGTTAAGGTTAATTTCCTCTCCTTAGTGACAGGGTCACTTAAAAATAGACAAACACTTTGTAGTAAAATAGTTAATCTTAAATAAGAATGAGTCAGGTCCTAACCTGAGCTCTTCCAAACCTGGAAACTACATGGGACCAGCTGCCCAATCAGCTGCGGGCTGGAACATTTGCTGCCCCAGAGCTGCACATAAACAGGGCAACAGCATGCTTGTGCTGGCATCATTGACCTTATATGGCCACGTGTCAAAATGTCATTGACCAAATATATAGCCATGTGGCCATATAAAAGCATTGACATAACTGCATCTGCCCCCTTACATGCAGCTGTTGGCGGGGAATTCCCTGTCAACAGATGATTGGACAGCAGTGGCAGGAGCTCCCTTCCATGACTGGGTTGAGTCTGAACCTGAGCTCATCCTTAGTCTTAAAGCAAGAAAGAAAAGAAAAAGACAGCCTTTAAATGTACACAAATAATACTTACCTGTCCCATCACTATTAAATGGGACCTTTAATCTCTTGCAAAGCTACATCTGCTGGTAGAATTTTAACAATCCGACACTTAAGGGGGGACTAGATTTCCTGCATCTCCCCATTGCGTGCTGTTGTTCCACCCACCAGCCACTACTTAATTAATATGTCCCTTTACAGCTACAAGGACAGAACAGAAATACATCATGCATTCAATAAGTAGATTAGTTGCGGACATTTTATTTTGAAATATATATCTCTAAAAAGAGACCTGTCATAAGCAAAATAAGTGGGAAGCTATTACCAACCTCCTTACGAAGAAACTAGCTGCCTGGCCTGTATTCTGATTGAATATTTGGTAAGTCGCTGGCTTGGAACAAGTATGTAGAAAGTGAAGTCAGAACAGCTGATCAGCATATATTTCCGAATGCTGAAGCCAAGCGATCAGTATGACAACCAGGAAAACTACCATTAAATTGTTGCAATTACAAATGTTTACTCATTCTCATGTTTATTTATTTTGTTTGTTTGGGTATGACACAAACAAATAGAGAAAAAAAGCCAAACTCCAAAAAATGGACTGGACAAAGTTATTGACAATTAATATTTGGTAGCACAGAACTTGGAAAAAATAGCTGAAATCAATGGCTTCCTGTAACCATCAATGAGTTTCTTACACCTCTCTACAGTAATTTTGGACCATTCTTCTTTCGCCAACTGCTCCAGGTCTCTCAGATTGGAAGAGTTCCCTTTCCCAACTGCTGTTTTGAGATCTCTCCACAGGAGCTCTATGGGATTCAGATCTGGACTCATTGCTGGCCAGTTCAGTACTCTCCAGCGCTTTGTCTGAAACCATTTCTGGGTGTAAGACTCATGACCTCTGGCGGAGACCCAACTTTCTGACACTGGGCCCTACATTGCACCGCAGAATTCTTTGGTAGCCTTCAGATTTCATAATGCATTTCAAACAATCAAGACATCCAGCGCCTGAAGCAGCAAAGCAACCGCAAAACATCAGTGAACCTCCCCCATGTTTGACTGTACAGACTTTGTTTTTTTTATATTTCTTTTTCTGAAAACCGTAGAATGATGGGCTTTACCAAAAAGCTTTGTTTCATCTGTCCACAGCACATTCTCCCAAAAGGATTTTGGTTTCCTGTACCTGTTGGTAAGTTTTGGCAAACTCCAATCTGGCTTTTTTATGTTTCTGTGTCAGCAGTGGGGTCCTCTTGGGTCTCCTACCATAGCGTTCCTTTTCATTCAGATGGCGACGTAAAGTGTGAGCTGACACAGTTGTACCCTGTGCCTGAAGGTCAGCTTGAATTTGTCTGGAAGTTGACCGAGGGTCTTTCCCCATCATTCCAACAATCCTTAATTGCAATCTTTGATCAATTGTTCTCTTTCGTCCACATTCAGGGAGATTAGCTACAGTGCCATGGCCTTTAAACTTCTTGACAATGTTGCGCACAGTGGACACACAAACATTAAGATCTCTGGACTTGTAACCCTGAGATTGTCCATGCTTTTCCACAATTTGTGTTCTCAAATCCTCAGATAATTATTTGGTGTTCTTTCTTTTCTCCATGCTCTGTGTGGCACACAGAGACGCACAACAGAAAGGTTGAGTACATTTTTTGCCATTTTAACTGGTTGCCGGTGTGATTTCTATATTGTCAGCACCTGTTAATTGATACAGGCGAGTTTAATTACAAATTATTCGAGCAACCCAGACTTGGAATGCATGCATTTCTTTCAATTTGGAGATGGTGCCAATAATTTTGCCCAGTCCATTTATGGAGTTTTGCATGGAATGTGTCAGATTTGGCTTTTTTTCTCCACTTTTTTGTGTCATACCAATACAAACAAAAGAAATAAACATGAGAATGTGCAGAAAATTGTTGCAATTACAAATGTTTAGGCAAAGTGGTGCATTATCTGAAAGAAATGCAGGGGTGCCAATATTCTGGGCCATGAACATGGGCACACGTGTAATACCTAACTAATATGTTGTGTGTTGATTGAAGAACATTCTTTCTCATCATTTTTTGTAAATAGGTCGCTGATAGCAGCTGGGTGGCACCAGATGATGGAACACTTACATTTCAGCCTCAATCAAATCCTTTCACCGCTCAGATATTATCATTGGCTAAACCAACCAAATCCACACAGGAAGAGAAGCAAACTGGACTTGCAGAAGTGAAATGCCTAAAAACTTTTCAAGCACCTTGCACAGCATTCACTCTCAAAGAAAAATGCCACATATTCAACAGAGTCTGTAGACCCAGTCTACAATCTGATGAGACAGAGACCAATGTAGATACTGGACACGAAGTTCAAAATCTGAGACATCATCCATTTTCTGTTTACAGACTGTCCAGGGATCCACAGAAAAATCCAGTTTGTGAACACAATCAATGTTTTCTTGCAGCTTTCAAAGATGCAAAACATTTAGCCTCAACAGAAGGGAACTCCAAACTCCCTCCGGCTGTCAAGCAGAACAAAGGAGTTCACATCAGCATCAAGATACCTCACTCGGGGAGATCTCATGGATACCATAGCAATGGCAACCAGCTTAGAGAGGAATTTTTTATTTGATATTAGCTAGTGGCCTTATCCTCCTTACACTGCAGGAGTGGAATCCATAAACACTACAGAAATATTGACATTTGAACATTTTGTTAAAAGGATTAGTAATTAGACGTTAATGGAATAAAATTGCTCTGTTGAAGGGTCCATTAAAGGGTGTCACAATGTGTCTGTCTTTTATTGTGTTTAATGCATTCATGTGTACGTTGGGCTTACTAACCAAGGCAATACAAAGGAGTATAACGATAGTCAAAGTACAGGAACCCATAGGAATAAAATACATGTATTACTGAATTACTTCTAACATAATCACCACATTTTATATGGAACATATTTGAAGGGAGGTGAAGATATTTTTGTGCACAGACCTAATCAACATTGGTCTGGAGAAAACAATTTGTCTGTGTTTACCAAATTATAAATAGCTTATTTACTTGGCTGAGATTAAAAGGCATGCATGCAAGGCCAGTTCACCCAGAAATTACATTTTAGTTAAGGTGAAGACTAGGTAACTGAAGCAGACTCCTCTGATTTGTCTTGGGTGCTCATACAGCAAGATCTGGCTGTTGTCATTCCTGACTCCTGGGATTTGGGTGTTCCCATACATCTGGGGGTCGATTTACTATAAGCAAATAGGTTGTTCACTTTGCAAGGGAATTTTCCCTTTGCTTGGTGAATAAAGGTGGCCATACACTGTACAACCATCGCAAGACCTTAGTCTTACGATGGTTGTAAAGTAATTAAAAAAACATACGATCTGCCATCTTGGACAGGCAGATCGTACTCTCGATCATCGCAAGCCCGCCCCCCTGAGGGGCGGGCTTCCGATGACCGCAATGCTGAACGGGCAGTGTGCGCGTGTGCGCACACCGGCCCGTTCGGCATTTGTCTCCCGAGCACCGTTCAAACCAGCCGAAAATCGTACGATTTTCGGCTGGTTTTCTAGCGTGCTCCTTAGACAAAAGACGTGCGACCGTAGAGTAGAAACGTAGGGAAATTTCGCGATCGTACGAGAATCGAGCAGTGTGAACGAAGACGTGCAACCGTTTCTACTGTACGGTCGCACGTCTTTTGTCTAAGGAGCACGCTAGAAAACCAGCCGAAAATCGTACGATTCTCGGCGGGTTAGTGGCCTGCTTGTTCGACAACTGCCGAACGGGCCGGTGTGCGCACGCGCACACTGCCTGTTTGCAGTGATCGGAAGCCCGCGCCTCAGCGGGGCAGACTTTCGATGATCCCAAGTACGATCTGCCCGTCCAAGGTGGTCAGATCGTACGAGCTTTCAATGAGCTTACGACCATCGCAAGACAAAGGTCTTGCGATGGTCGTAAGGTGTATGGGCACCTTAAGATGAAGCTCTGCTGGCTTCCATCATTCAATCATGTGCAATCAAGATTGCACATGGCTGGATGGTATTACTAGTTTACACAAGAAAGATAACATTATTTTTGCTTCCAGTTCATGATAAGGATAAGGACGCTGCATTTCTGGCAAGATCAACAGGAATTTTCTGCACTTGCTAAATTGTTCTTATTGTAAAAAAGTTGGCCACCACATCTAAGGACTGGAAAGCTACAATATATTACATTATTGTTCTTGGGTTTAGTGCGGGGCATATCCACCACATGGCAAACAAGTGCCTTTGGCTTGGGCATCACTTTCCAGGAGGAAATGCCACCCCCAAAACAGTGGGGCGAGCCGGGCTGCACAGAATCAGGCAGTCATGGCTGCCTAATCATAGAGCTGGAGGAGGCCAGGCTCAGCAGTGCCGGTGTGGAGGTGGACAAGGCCAGGGCCTGGCAGCAGGCTGCTCAGGGCTAATGGTGGATGTCCTGGAAGGCTGGCTGGGGAACTGCTGGTAAGAGGAGTGCACATGTACTGGGACTCTGCACAGCCCACCATAGATTTTGCATAGCCCACCTGAGAGTCTCAGGTGGGCTTTGCAGGGTCTATGGTGGGCTACGCGGGGCCTATGATGAGCTGTGCAGGGTCTCAGGTTGGCTGTGCAGGATCTGTGGTGGGATCTGCAGGGTCTCAGGTAGGCTCTGCAGAGTCCATGGTGCGCTCTGCAGGATCTCCGGTTGGCTGTGCAGAATATGTGGTGGGCTGTGTGCGGTTTGTGGTGGACTCTGCGGGGTCTCAGGTTAGCTGTGCCCACCTGAGACCCCGGTTCACACCACAAACAGTGCGTTCCAGAGCGGTCAGGCTCTGGAAGGCACTGAATCGCATTCCAGCTGGCTCCATGTGTTCAGGGGCAGGAGGGGCCATGGTGGTGCGTTGAAGTCAATGGCACCGCAGCCACGCCCCCCCCCCCCCCCCCCTCCCACTCGCAGTGTGATCGCCTGCATTTCGGTCCAGTGCGATCTTCAAAAATAGCGTATGCAGCATTTTTTCCAATCGCACTGGACCGCAACGCAAGCACTAATGTGCCATGCAATCTGGTGTGCATGATCACACTGCAGACAGGGGCATGTCTGCCGTACTATGCGATACAGTGCGTTCCAGCAGCTAACTGCGCTGGAACGCACTGCCAGTGGTGTGAACAGGCCCTTAGGCCGGGTGAACACCTAGGCAGCATCATTTTTAGGCGCTTGTATGCACTTACATGAAGACACATGTTTTGACTGGCAGCTTAAGAAACATTGCGGGCAATGGACGTATGCGCAAAAACGCACACGAAAATATTCAACATGCTTCTGCCACACATTTTCGTGCATTTCCATTGAGGGCAAAAGCACGCTGTTAACCACCCAAATAAGCTCATGCACCTTTTCAGGCGTTTGATGTTCTCCTGCTGACGATTTCTGCTCAGGTGTGAACAAGGGCCATTGGAAATCATGGTGATTTTTTGTCTCGGGCGTTTAAAAGCGCTTTTCCAACTGCTCAAAAACACCTAGGTGTGAACCAGGCCTTAGTGAATAGACCTGTGAATAAATGTCAAAGTACCTCAGTGCTAAATACTAAAAAATGGTCTGGACAGGAAGGGGGGTTAACCCCCTGGTCTCCAAGTAGTTAAAGATGACTAAAAATAGTGATTGTAGGGCCCATTTCGCAATATCATGGGGCCACTTCATGATATTTGTGGCCCTAACATGCCCTTTTTTTTTACATTTCCTAGTGAATTGACAAATGTATTTTATGTTATATTTATCTCATGTTGTTCAGTTTTAGCATTATTTATTCTCACATGTTTTTAATGAATTGACTTTCTTTTATCTCATCTATTTCACTAAAAAAGGTCACATGACCATTTTACCTCATGAGATAACGTTTAGTGAATTGACTGAGCGGCATTAAATAACGTCATTCATTGCTGTGTGGAGTTCCGCTTTAGGCTATGTTCACACCGTGTCCGGACCAGCTGTGGAGCAGATCTGCAAACGCTAGACATGTGCGATTCGTTTCGGAAAAATTAGTTTTTCGGACTAATTTTCGTTATTCTGAGATTAGGATGTATCCGAATTTCTGTATAACAGAAATGACGAATGAAAACAAATCCGGATTTCCGAAAATGACATTTCAGACGAAATTTGTTAGCGGTAGTCTGTACGCCTTTTTCGTTTATGAACAAATTTAATGTCACTTTGCTGCAACGAAACGAACGAAACAGACTACCGCTAGCGAATTTCGCCCGAATACCGAAACAAATTGACTTTCGGACCCGTACCCCGAAAAACGAAATAACGCAAAATCAAAATCATTTTACGCTTAAAATGGGCTTTTCAGTGCGTTTGCATGCATTGTTATGTGTTTCCATGCGTTCCAGACCAGAGAAAATGAGACAAGCAGTATTTTTTTTTTTAGACCCGAACGGACTGCACTGGGGTTAACAGAGCCTAGAAATACCATAGGGATACATTTGTTCTGGGAACAAACTGTTCTGGTCTGGACATGGTGTGAGCAAGCCCTCAATCTTTTATGAGGCCCAGTGCAAACCTCCGGGATCGCGCGGTCCTACACAATGCAGGCAGCGATTGCTGCGTGGCCCCATTGATTTAAATGGGGTGACATCTGCGCGGAAATCGCAGAAAAAAAGTACATGTACCTTTTTTTTTGCGATACGCGAAGTGCGGCTGTTTTAGCTAGGCACGACTGGTGTGCCATTCGAAAGTAATGGCACCCACACCGCGATCAGTTCACACTTTGGCGACTCCTGACCCCACGGTAATCCGTGCGGAATCGTGCACGACTGCCGAGCAGTGAGGTGACGCCTAGGTGTGCACCGGCCCTTAACCTCTCTCCCAGAACATGTATAAGGATAAATGTTGTGACATGACTGGCTGGTGCAGCCTTATATTTCAGTTGTGCATTTACAAGTGTTCTGCATTGTGTCTGCTAACTTCCTCAGCAGGCAGCATAAGTAGCTGAGAGAGCTGAAAAAGAGCAGACGGAGGGGAAGTCAGCTGATTGGAGGTCATGTGACCAGCGTCAGCACACTGCTGTGGGTAATGTGTGCAATGGCTGGTGCACAGCTATGTGTCTTGCTGTATCTGGGGGCTTCTCTCTGTAGCGGTTTCACTTATGGAAGATTTAGGAGAAGACCCTCTGAATTCCCAGTGACAGTGCAGGATCACTGGTTCCAGCAGAAGTTGGATCACTTCAATGGAGCCGATACCAGAGTGTGGAACCAGGCAAGTTTATGAAGATTAGTTATAAAAGTATAATCCAACTTTTATAACAAAAAAAAAAGGGAAAAGTGCTTTTGCTGAATTTTTGCAGTGAAGCCTGCAGAGCATTGCACCCCAGATCAGTGTGCACAGGCCCATACATTTTTACATCTCATGTCCGTATGAAGGTAAGGATCATTTTTAAGGACGGGGTTGGAGGAAGTAGACAATGGACTACAAGTGCAGTGATGGTGCCGCACATGTGTAGGTGCAATCTATTAGGGTCTCTGTTGTGGTGGCAAATGGAGCTTGTAGTATTTCCAGTCACACGATCAACGCACTGCTGTTCAAAAATGAACCGGTCAGTTCAAGAAGAAGCACCCCGCAATTCAGGAAGGGGGGTGCTAAAAGGAAGGGAATGCGCTAATTTTAAACACCGTAAATATGGGCGCAACATGAAATGGGGTCAGAAAAATGTGAGCTATGCCTTTAAGACAAGTGTCCTGGTTTATTAATAGTTACTACTAAAACCTGATTTGGATAATGAAGGGGGAGGATTTGTTCCTGGAAATCTCTCTTTTTAACCCTGTAGTGTACCCAAACCTGGAGTGGACAGAATCTGGAGTAGTTGCCCATAGCAACCAAACCACTTCTCTCTTTTTAGTTTTGGTTAAGCTTTGAAAATTAAAGAAGCTGATTGGAGCCGTTGCCCATGGCAGCCAGATTCTGTCTCCTCCAGTTTTGATCAATTCCCCTGGTGATTTCAGGTTTTCTCATTTAAGGTTAATTGGCACTTTCTGGAGCTTGTTCAGGAAAACCGCTACAAGGAGTAAAGTACGATACCTAGGGGAATCGGTCAAACTGTTTTTAAACCAGTCCGGCTGCAGCAAAGGGAATTCTGATTTGTTTGTTTGTGATGGCTTCTTGTACTTTGCTCAGTCGGGATGTTTTTTTGGCAATCCAGCTGCAGTAAAGTGAAATGTTAATGTTTGTTATGGATTTTATCGGGCTTTGTTCCTTTCATTGTTACTTCGAATGAGCCCCATGTGTTTGTGCTTTTGAGCAAAAAAGTAAAAACTGCAAAGACGTTTGTTCAGTTCATGTAGGTCATATAAAATACTAGAAATAAATGCTGCTCCGTCAAGGCTGAGCTCATTAACCCATAAAATCCAGAAATTATGTTCAGCGATCTCACTTTAGTAATTTTACTAATCTGATTGCCGAGTGTTGGCCACAAACAAGCCAATTGTTAAACAATTCAAATCTCCTTCAACCAGCTTTTTATCACAATAATAATGGATACGTATAACCTACCACCTACAGTCTGCATGGATAATGGGACTGAATGATTAGACAGCCTAGCAAAAATATTAGACCCGTTTAGAGCTAAAATAAGAGGCGATAAGAAGTCAGAAGTCAGTGAGAAAAGGGAAGGAAGTTGTAGACAGCGTGACAGCCACTTATGTTGTTGAATAAGCAATATTGGGGAATGCTGTGTTTTGGTTTTTTTAAGAGGGTCCCACTCATCCTTCCAATGTTTGGGAGACATCTGCATGTCTATGGCTAGCCTCGCACTTTCTGCTTGTGATGCCGATCTCGCAGCAGAGATAGGAATTTGACTGAAAAAAGACTTGCTGCGTGCTGAGCAGAGTCAGACAGAATGGAGTTCTGAAACCCTGGTGCAGACTTTTACATTTGCCCAGAAGATGAACAACTTTGCAATACATATTTCAAAGGCAAAATGCGCAATACCAATGGTAATCTATTTCAAGACACAACTGCATTGGAAACCCACTCAACCTGTAGCCCAATATTATATAGCGCCAACAGTTTGCACAGCGCTTTAGAATGAATTGGGAATAGCTGATTCTCAGGAAAGATTCTGCCTGCCTCAGTATGCAACGAATATAATGCAGGTTTCACCACACAGCTTCATGTTACACTCCCTTTATGAAATATCAGATAAACCGTTCACAACATAAACCCGCTAACGTGTTTCAGGCACACATGGCCTTATTGATACCAATGCCTTTTAATGCACCTGCATTTACATTGTAGTAAATATCAATGTGTTTAACATGCATTTTTGATGCAAAACAAAGGGGTTCCCTTGGATGGCAGCCTCCACGACCTTCTGAAAAGTTATCTGTGGTGGAGAGGGCGATGGAGCAGCTGCTGTCCCACGTTTAGCAGGTGATACTGCCATGCCCTGAATGCAGATTTATCTTTATTCCCAATGGGAATTTTCTATTACAATACCGTGCCATAACTGCATAAGCATGCACTGCAGCACGATCCGTGGTTTACGTTTGACACGCGGCACCGTCTGTCAAACGTGACATGCTGTATGTTTTTTTGCAAAGCGTTGTGGTTGCAGCAATGTATGCAGCACCATTTGGCCGTAGTGCTAACATTGCAGCAGATGACGAGGAGCAGTTAAAACTGCCGATCAACTGCTTGGTTTTACCGCCCCTTTGCTGCCCATGTGAACGAGACCTGAAAGTTCTGCCAGGTGTATGACATTTGCATGACATCCATTCGGTATATAAAGGTGCACCCCAAGGTGTATTGCATCACACATACACCTAGCACAACATTTCTTTTGATACATTATTTCTATTGGGAAGCGCATATGCATAATATGAAGAGGTGTGAATGAAGATTTAATGAGGACCTAAAATGTGGAAGCTGTGTCCCAAAAAGGCATGGGTCTAGGGTTGAATGAATCTGAAATTGGCAGCAAATCCCATTGAAATCTATGGGGGGGATCTTGATACTAAATTTCAGTCATCTTTAAAGGCTGCATGAACCGTATGATTTTCATGAAATACGTATTCTGGTATCACATATTTTGGATGCAAAACATTTTTTTTTACATTTACCCTGAACTATATTTAGGACCATCACCCCCAATCTGATTCATTTTAATTTCTGTTTGTTTTATTGGGCTATTTAAACCTTTTAGTCTTATTTCACATTTATCCATATTTTTTTATATTCTTCCAGGTTTAAAAAATGGGTTGAGGTTTAGTGTTTAGGAGTTTTGTTGTTGTTTTATTTGGGGAAGGGTATACTTTATTTTGTGCTGCTAGGGCCCTTTTTTTTATTTTTTTCATTTTTGGGTAAGCTGGGCACTTGTTGCTGATTACAGACAAAGCTGCCCTTTGCAGCACGTCACTGCATACTTGTGTGGTAAAGTAGTGTGCACCAAAGCACCGCATATTTCCCCCCTCTCATTAAACTCTCAAACTTTTTTTTTTTTTCCCAATTATGAATCCAGGTGAAACAAATTTACATTGCCCAGAAAAGCATTGCTTTCCATTTTTACCCAAACACTTAGTCATCATGTTTATGAACCACTCCTTCCAAGTCTCTTAGGTCAGCTTCTCTGAATGTCCTGTCCAGTACAGAATCGCAAAGGGCAGTGCAGACTCCAGCAACTGTTCATCTACTAGACGGGGGGCCAAGGAAGAGTGAAGCAGCTTGACTTGCTGTGTTTGTGGAGACACACACAAGGGTGACTGCATAGCACTCTGCTTGAGAAAGGAGTCACTCTAAAACAAGCTATCCGGGCCAGTGCTCAGGGGACCAGCTGATTATACAGGAAATTAAAACTTTTAAACATCAAGAAGTAGCATTCATTGTAAGTGATTTCATCAGCATTTGAAATGGTTTAAAATCCTTTTGACTTTAATATCACTTTAAGCTTTATCTACGTTTTGCAAGCTTTTAGGTTTGGTTATGAATGCAAAAATTCAGCCAATGCAAGTTTATTTTTTGGATCACCACTAGAGGTCCTGCTTACACAAGAGCAGGAATATACAGTATCATGATAATAAAATGTATGTATAGCTGTTTTGTTTTGTCATGGATAGAGGAGGGAAAGGTTGAGTCTTGTCGGCTGATTTTTGTATTTTTTGTTGTCTGCATACCATTGGGGTGATTTCCCTTCGCTTCCTGTTCCAGAGATGCAACAGAAAGCCAGAGGAGTTCTCCACAAAATAAGAAAAAATCTCCTCTTAGGTAGTTGTCACCCAGACAAGTGTATGAATATACCGTATATGTACTGGCCTGAGTGCCCTGCCTCAACCCTGTTGAACACCTTTTTGGGGTAAATTGGAACACCATCTGTGAGCCAGCTCTTCTCATGCAACATCAGTACCTGGGCTCACAGCTGCTCTTTTGGCTGAATGGGTACAAATATTCTTGTAAAAAGCTTTCCCAGAATTATGGAGACCGTTATAGCTGTAACATGGTGGGGCAACTTCACCTCAGTGCACATGGATTTGGAATGGAATATCCAACAAGATCATATAGGTGTGATAGTCCCATTTCCACAAAAGTTTAGCCATATATTGTATTTGTAAGTAACATTACTACTAGAAATGCTTTTTGAGATGGTCAGGGGGAAGGATCGCGTGTCAGGCTTATAACCGACAAGGCACTTGGTTTTGAAGCAGCAAAACACATATTGGTCTGTTCATTGACCACGAAAAAGAAAAGGGCAGTTACAGCAATCTTTTTGACTTTTTTAAAGACAAATACAACAGTCTTATCCAATGAGCGGCACCTTACTTTAATACATGCCTTTTTAACAGTGTTTTTCTTACCAGGACTTCAGCTTTAATGTGTATCTATAGCCAAAACATTTTTTAGTTTTGGATAAAATAGGGAAAGTTTAGAACTTGTTGGGTTTTACTGCCACCAGAGGCCTAA